CCGGTAATTTTTTTTTTTGTCTATAAATAATGCTGAACATCATGAGTTACAGTGTGCTGTAATTTTGCCGTATTGCATTGAGTATTTTCATCCTACCATATTAGGAAATGTTAATTTCAAATATGGAACGATTACTTGCATAAGCGTCCTCTAATAATAAAAACGACATGGCTGCCCTCAGCGTGAAGTTTAACCGGATCCTACGCAAAGAAATTTGCTAAGTCTGTTTAGATTTCGGCATTCCCATGATGTATCTTTGGGAGAAAAGAATGTATAATAATAAGGTTACTACAGTATTTCGTCCTACTTGATAGCACAAACCAAACAATGATGCTATCCTAAACAGATCTGTCTTTGGTTCTGTTCCTGACAGTTTGATTTTTTTCTTTAAATTGAAGAACAAGCATCTATTGTCTCACAACAATGGCATTAAGCATCACACATTTTTTTTTTTACAATGTAATTTCAGTCTATAGAAAGAATTATTATTAAAGCTTCAAAAATTTTTATTTATTTTGGACAAAATTTCCTATTGGTCCTGATCAAAATTTTTGGAATCAATGCACAAAATGAGTTTTATTTTGTTAAAAGGTTAAATTGATTGCAGAAAATACAATTTTCTTTTTCTGTTGATAAATACTGGCACAATACTATGCTATTTCATCACAATTGATGACACCAACCAGACAATGATAGTCTCATAAACAGATCTGTCTTTGATTCTGTTTCTGGCAGTTTGATTTTTAAAAAAAATTGAAGAACATTGTCTCACAACAATGGCATTTTTTTTTTCATTTCAGTCTATAGAAGGAATAATAAAAGCTTCAAAGGAAGAGTTATCACTTTGTCCAGGATTTGGCCCACAAAAGGTGAGGAAAATAAAGATGTGTTAGACTCGGCTGTTTATTGTTTGAGACATTGTAGTAAAAAGTTTTAAAAATAATCTTTGACCATACATATCCCTCCTTTCCTACCAAGGAATATGAACTGAGTCCCTGCAGAATGACCATCAAAGATTATGTACTCTCTATGTATTCAGGATAAATTAATGGTTTACTTATTTTGCCTCATCAAAGAATAGCACATACTATTGTAAAATGACTAATTTTCAGTGGGTCTTAAATTCACGGTTTTATCGTTTAGATAAAGTGTTCTATGCTAAATTTTACATATTCACTGGGTTTTAATTTAGCGCATTTTCAAGTCAGCGAAATAAGCAAAATTAAAACCCAGTGAATAATTAACCCTTCTACAGTATATACAAATATACATGTACCATCTTAACTATTTTGATAGTATTTGATAAGATGACCTCATCAAAAAAATAGAAGATACTGTAATAAATTCTTCACTGGTTTTTAATATTGCTATTCGCTAAATTAAATTTGTGTTCCTCTCAGTGAAAATTTACAGTAGACATGTACAGCATTTGACAAGCTGATCTCATCTAAAAAACAATATATATATATATATATATATGTAGCGTTTTTACTGTTTCTATGGTAATTGGTGTCAACCAAAACTCAAGTTTATACATTTTTTTTTTTACAGGCTTATCGACTTCAAAGTTTGTTTGATGAATCATTTATAAGATCAAAACATTCAAAGAAAAATGAACCACAGCCAAGTACAAGCAAACAATGAATTACTAACATTCCAAATGATTTTGTATATACTTTATAAATAGATATTTTAAATATAATAATGAATAAAATAAAGATTACTTTTATGTAAAAAAAAGCTACTTTCTTTTTTATTCAAATAATTTAATTTTCACTGTACAAAACTTTCATACACTCTGGAAGGAAAGGGTACATGTAGCTTCCTTCAGTTGATAATTCCCAAAAATTTATTCATTAAAGGGAAAATTAAATTGCCCAAAAAATGCAAATTTTACCTCATTCCATTTCACTGCCGAACTATACATGTACACATTGAAATTGGTTTCTTACACTGTAAGAATTTACTCTACTTTTATTAGGTCTATATAAGTATACTGTAAATGCATTAATTATTCACTGGGTTTTAATTTTGCTGATGAGTAAAATCCGCTAAATTAAATCTATGTGATAACAAAAATAGGCCTGTTGCTCAACGACTATTGTACAAAAAATTTGTGCTGTATATGACAAATACCCCAAAAGGCAGTGAGTGAGACAATAAAATAACAAATATTCAATAAAATTAGAATCAAAGAAAACTCCAGCGTGTTGAGAGAATAACATAAGATGATATTTGCAATTATCTGAATTCGTAATATATGTATATACCAAGTTTTGTTGAAATATGTTGAATGGTTCTTGAAATAGCACCCAAAAAGCTTGAATTTCACTAGCTGATATGCAAATTAGATAATTTGCATAAATTTCCATCAAAAACTAAATGTATCTGGAAACTGCCCCAACACATCTATGCACAAAGTTTTATTAAAACATATTGAATGGTTCTCAAGATATCACCAAAATAGCCTAAATATTGGTATGTAAATTAGGCAATTTGCATAATTTTTCACCAAAATCAATCATGTCTATACACATTAAATATGTTGAGTGGTTATGTTTTCATTACAATCACAATAGACCAATCAAAGAAAACTTAGAACTCCCATGTGCTATGTGGGAATGAGAAATAGATTGCAAAACAAATGGGAAACATTACATATCTCCCTGTGAGCATATAATTTCAATATGGCATCATTGTATAATCTTCCCAAGTTTAGTCCATTTTCCAACAACTGTAGTGCATTAAGGAGAAGGTGATAAAAAAAAAATCATGAATTTCTGAAATTTTTAGTGACTGGGTGAAGTGTCATCCAAGCTACATGTGTACCAAGTATCAAATAATTTGGACTACTGATTTTGAAGAACAAGTCAAAAGTACTATTTTTGATGAAAAATGACAAAATAAAATATTTGTTGAATTGAAGATGTCAACACAAAATGAACATATCTGATAGAGGACCACCCAACGTATATACCATGCTGGTTTGAGAGCAATCGGACTACCAGTTTCGGTGAAGAAGTCGAAAATAGCATTTTTGACCAAAAATTACCATTTTAAAATATTCGCCAAAATTAGGAAATTGAAAATTTCCTTACCAAAATAACAAAACTGATAGAGGACAACCAGCACTGTAGACCACTTAGTGTCATTGTAGCATAGAAGAAATTTGAGAGTTTTGGGGAGCTAATTTGCATAATTTTTGGCAGATCGACTTCTCATGAACAGATTACCATCTACACTCATCAAGGCATCCACAAAAAATCAAGTCAAACGGTTCGGCGGTTTTTTGAGAAGAAATCGTGCACAGACAGATAGATAGACGGACGACAGACGCAGGACAGAAACCCATCCCATAGGCTCAGCGGATCTATGGTCCGTTGAGCCAATAAAACTCATTGTTTTCTTGAAAAATTTATAAAATCAAAACACAGCGAATATGCTCAAAACATCAAATTTAAAAGTCGGTTAAAATAAATTATCGCCTTGTGTGACGTAAGTTCATGGTTTAATAACTCCTTCCTATATATTCTGTGACATCCAAGTAGCATACAGGTACATGAGTGATAGCAAGTAGGCAACTTAAATAATATCAATGATGTGACCAGCTTTTATTTCAAGACGTATCATCCGATGCTTTTTTGATATTGTCAATCATCACAGCGCCTGTCATAGCAGTAGTCTTCATATCGTATTGTGTGTCCTTTGCCTCATCTGTTATTTCAAGAGACTGGTCATCAATTGCATTTGTATCACCTTGTAGATTGTTCCTTATCGCAGCATCTGGTATAATAGCTGTGTCACTTGTATCGTATTGTGTGTCTTTTGCCTTGTCAGTTTCATCATCTGTGGCTTCTTCTGATTCTTCACTTTCTGACGATGGCATATCATAGACGGGCTGTCTGTCAAATTTCTCTATACCACCTTCTGTAATGAGAGCGATATTTGGTTGAGATGGTCTCAAAACAAATTAGTTACACTGTCAGTACATTGTGAGATGCGTCCAATTTGTTATACCATGTCAGTGCATTGTGAGATGCGTCCAATTTGTTATACCATGGCAGTGCATTGTGGGATGTGTCCAATTTGTTACACCATGTCAGTGCATTGTGAGATGTCCAATTTGTTGCACCATGTCAGTGCATTGTGAGATGCATCCAATTTGTTAATACACTACGTCAATTCATTGGGAGATGTCTAATTTGTTGCACCATGGCAGTGCATTGTGGGATGTGTCCAATTTGTTATACCATATCAGTGCATTGTGAGATGCGTCCAATTTGTTAATACACTATGTCAATTCATTGGGAGATGTCCAGTTTGTTACACCATGTCAGTGCATTGTGAGATGTGTCCAATTTGTTACACCATGTCAGTGCATTGTGAGATGTGTCCAATTTGTTACACCATGTCAGTGCATTGTGAGATGTGTTCAATTTGTTAATACACCATGTCAGTGCATTGCGAGGTGTGTCCAATTCGTTACACCATGTCAGTGCATTGCGAGATATGTCCAATTTGTTACACCATGTCAGTGCATTGTGAGATGTGTCCAATTTGTTACACCATGTCAGTGCATTGTAAGATGTGTCCTTGTTACACCATGTCAGTGCATTGTGAGATGTGTCCTTTTTGTTACACCATGTCAGTGCATTGTGAGATGTGTCCAATTTGTTGCACCATGTCAGTGCATTGTGAGATGCGTCCAATTTGTTAATACACTATGTCAATTCATTGGGAGATGTCCAATTTGTTGCATCATGGCAGTGCATTGTGGGATGTGTCCAATTTGTTACACCATGTCAGTGCATTGTGAGATGTGTCCAATTTGTTGCATCATGGCAGTGCATTGTGGGATGTGTCCAATTTGTTACACCATGTCAGTGCATTGTGAGATGTGTCCAATTTGTTGCACCATGTCAGTGCATTGTGAGATGCGTCCAATTTGTTAATACACTATGTCAATTCATTGGGAGATGTCCAATTTGTTGCATCATGGC